GATAGAACCATGAACAGAACCAGACTGCTGCTCATAAATGCCTTTTCAATCATTTCAAAATTGTCAATAGCAATATAGTATAAGTTAACTAAGTGGGACAGAGAGGGGTCTAAACATAAAATGTAATGAATTATTTCTGCTCCTTTGTCTTTTTTTTAAAAGATTTCTTCAATCATTTCAAAGATGCCTAAAGCAGATTTCTATGTTCTGGAAAAAAGAGCACTTTCCATTCAAAACTCATCTCTGTTTCCTATACTTTTACATTTTCAAATCATGGAAGCCATGCTATATGCCTTATTAAATAAAACTTTTGCCCAGGATGGGCAGCATCAGGTGCTGAGCATGAATCGAAACGCAGTGGGGAAGCATTTTGAACTGATGATTGGTGACTTCAGGACTAGTGGAAAAGAACTAGTGAAGCAGTTCCTCTCCGATTCTGTACTGAAGGCGGATCCTCGGGTGTTCTTCCCATCAGATAAAATAGTCCACTACAGACAGATGTTTTTATCTAGTGAATCACAAAGAGTAGAAGAGCTTTATGATTCATTATTACAAGCTGTTGCCTTCTATGAATTAGCAGTGTTTGACTCTGAGCCTTAGAATTCTGAGGTTAATGTGCTAAAGTCATATTAATGTATAATTATTAGCTCTAATGTAAAACCAACTGTTTTGAACATACATGTTACTGGAAAAGAACATATTTTGAGTGTATTTTAGATGTTGAAATTCTGATTTTCAGCTACTAAATTGTCTACACAATAAGCCAAGACCAAATCAATAAACATTTTATGAGATTCTGTGCCTTTCAGGTTTATGTGTTAAAAATTAAGGTGGGGCTGGGCGCAGTGGCTTATGCCTATAATCCCAGCACTCTGGGAGGCTGAGTCAGGATCGCTTGTGCCCAGGAGCTCGAGAGCAGCCTGGGCAACATAGCAAGACCACAATAATATTTAAAAAAATTTTCATTAAAGAAACAGTAAGATGCCAAATAGACAAAACAAGAAACAAACATATCTCCCTTTAAAGGCAACTACTATCTATACTAAGCATTTGCATGATCATATTGTTAAAATAGAGAATAATGATTTTCCTAGGTGGTGCTTATTATGAAAATAAAGATAACTGATAACACAGCTTATAGAATCCTCCTCTCTTATTCTCTAAGTAGAATGTGGGTTGCCACACTGCCTCCAAAAGCTGATTTTCTTTTTTTGAGGCAGGGTCTCACTCTCACCCAAGCTAGAGTACAGTGATACAATCACAGTTCACTGCAGCACCTCCTGGGCTCAAGCAATCCTCCTGCCTCTATCTCTTGAATAGTTAGAACTACAGGCACATGTCATCATACCCAGCTAATTTATTTTTTGTAGAGATGGAGGTCTCACCTTGTTGCCCAGGCTGGGCTCAAATTCCCGGCCTTAAGTAATCCTCCTGCCTCAGCCTCTGAAAGTACCAGGATTACTGGCGTGAGCCACCATACCCGGCCCCAAAAGGTGACTTTCATCAGCTCAAATCTATTAGCCAAAAACAAACAAGTTTTGTCTAATAGGCTCTTTCCTATTTTTTTTTTTTTTTTGTTTTTTTTGAGACCTAGTCTCACTCTGTTGCCCAGGCTGAAGTGCAGTGATGCAATCTCGGCTCACTGCAACCTCCGACTACCAGGTTCAAGCGATTCTTCTGCCTCAGCCTCCTGAGTAGCTGGGACTACAGGTGTGCGCCACCACACCTGGCTGATTTTTCTATTTTTAGTGGAGATGCGGTCTCACCATAGTGGCCAGGCTAGTCTCAAACTCCTGACTTCATAATCCTCCGGCCTTGGCCTCCCAAAATGCTGGGATTACAGGCGTGAGCCACATGCCCGGCAGGCTCATTTTTTAACTTTGTAATATTTTAACTTGACAGACCATCTATTGATGTCCATTTTACCACTGTTTACCTTAGCTGAGGCCCTCAATGTATCTTCTTTATGAACCTAAGCCTCGAGTCTCTTTTTTTTGAGATGGAGTCTCGCTGTGTCACCAGGCTGGAGTGCAGTGGCACAATCTAGACTCACTGCAACCTCCGCCTCCTAGGTTCAAATGATTCTCCTGCCTCAGCCTCCCAAGTCGTTGGGACTACAAGTATGTACCATGCCCAACTAATTTTTGTATTTTTAGTAGAGACGGGGTTTTACCATGTTGGCCAGGATGGTCTCTATCTCTTGACCTCGTGATTCATCTGCCTGGGCCTCCCAAAGTGCTGGGATTACAGGTGTGAGCCACCGTAAATCTCTTTGGTGTCAAATTATTAAATCTCAGTGGTACCTGTCTTTAGTGCCAGCTACTTGGGAGGCTGAGGGGGGAGCATCACTTCAGCCCCGGAGTTTGAAGTCAGCCTTGACAACATAGCAAGGCCCCATCTCTTACAAAAATGTTTTCACTGTCTATTGACATGACAGTGCTCCATAAATTCCTTAACTTTCCAAGGGAAAAAAAAAAAAAAAAAAAAAAAAAGTATTAAATATTTTCTATAACATGAACATTTTCTATAATCCAAAAGTGAAATATACTTGTTCAAAAATATTTCAAATAATCTGAAACATAAAGCAAGAAGTGGAAGTCCTCCCTTCTCTAGCACCTCCAGCTCCCTAGAGTTGGTGTACACTCTAGACCTGTTGCCATGCACAAATAAAGCATCTCTACATTTACATGTCATTGTGTACCTAAACATCTCCACTTTGGAGATGCAGATACCTCAAACTATGCATGTCCAAAAAGCAAATCATTCTCATTCCATCCAAACCATCTTTGCCATTGTTTTCTATTTTGATAAATGGTTTCTCAAACTACCTAGTTGTTCATAACAAACATGGCGTTATCACAAAAGTGAATCTAAATCTTACAGGAATTTACCATTATTAAGAATGAAAAGGCTGGGTGCAGTGGCTCACACCTATCATCCCAATGCTTTGGGAGGCCAAGGAAGGAGGATCATTTGAGCTCAGGAGTTTGAAGCTATGGTGAACTATGATTGTGCCACTGTACTTCAGCCTGGGCAACAAGAGTGAGACCTCTTTAAAAAAAAAAAAAAAGAGGCCGGGCGCGGTGGCTCAAGCCTGTAATCCCAGCACTTTGGGAGGCCGAGGCGGGTGGATCACGAGGTCAAGAGATCGAGACCATCCTGGTCAACATGGTGAAACCCCGTCTCTACTAAAA